AAGGTAAGTTTTATTTCACTTTATGTTCACAACAATTTTTTCCCCATTATGGGGTATAGCTTGGTAAAACAAGAGGGCAAAAAAAAAAAAAAAAACTAAAAAATTCATATTAATGAAGACAATTATCTCCACTTGAAATTGTAAATTATATGACAATTATAAGTTACTATTGTTTGTGACTGGTCAGTCCACAATTTGAATTAGAATTAGAAGCATAACTGACATAGCTTCAAATTGATGTGAGCAACCTAATAAGCAAGGGTGCTTCTGTCCAGGGGCGGAGGCAGAAATTTTTTTCGGGGAGGCAAAATACTAAAATTTTCAAAGTTTAGGAGAGGCTAAATAATTTTTTATATACTAATTTGCAAGATTTTCAAATTTCAGGGGGGGCGAGCGCCCCTCCTCGCACCCCCCGGCTCCGCCACTGCTTCTGTCCATTGTTTTAGAAAGAGAACATAAGGTGTTGGCCTTTATTTTATCTTATATCTTTAAGGTTAAACCAAAAAGGAATAGTGAAGATGAAACAAACACGGGGCCAAGACTACTGCTGCAATTGGTCAGTTCCCCAACCCCTTAAATACATCTTTGATGGAGCTCCTAGTTCAGTCTCACCAAAGCGTCATGCTTTCTCTCGTTAGACAAGGAAACTATCAAGAAATTATGTTAGGAGAATTACATAAAATTAATATGAGCTAGAACTGAATTTCACCCAATGGATGTTGACTAGAAAATACAGAATAAAATAAAATAAAAAAGGTAACTAACATAAAGCCTTTTAAATGCCAATAATGGGATAAAATACAGAAGGTACCTGCAATTTGACAAGCTCATCTACAAACTCACACAGAAATAGATATGATCTTGGAGAAGATAACAGTCCAAGATTTATGAAAATAGGATCAAGTTAAAATACACACTCCCAAAGCCAAGAGGCAATTCTTTTTCTCCTTTTTTTTCTACATTAGATAATAGCGTTTGCCTGCACACAAACAACTATGGCCATCATGGGATAACATACAATATGTAGGCTTCATTTGCCAATACTTTGTACATACTTTATTAACACAACACAATTTCTAAGAACTAGAACTTAAGCTGTACTTTATGCGATTTGTCTTTATTTTTCTTTCTAGATTTTTATTAACATAAATTTTTGCTATGATAATTAACTCTATATATTGTAAAGTATTCTTTTTGATAATTAGTAATTTTAAATATATTAATTTACAAAAAAAAA